AATTTTTAGCGAAACCGGTTTGGCTCAGCGGATAGAGCATCAGCCTGTGGACTGAAAGGTCCCAGGTTCAATTCCGGTCAAGGGCATGCATCTTGGTTGCGGGCACTCCCCAGAAGGGAGTGTGCAAGAGGCAGCTGATCGATGATTCTCTCTCATCGATGTTTCTAACTCTCTGTCTCTCTCCCTTCCTCTCTGTAAAAACTCAATAAAATATTTTTTTTTATTTTTTTAAGAAGGGGGAGCTCTACAGTGAGACTGTGGGTTGAAATCCCAGCTCTGCTCACCATGTAATCCTGAACCATCCATCCTACCTAATAAAAGAGAAACATGCAAACTGACCGCACCTTCGCTATGCCCACAAGCCCTGCCTACCAGCCAAACAGGGTGAGTATACAAATTAATCCAAGATGACGATTAATTTGCATATCTAGGCCAGAGCGCAAGGCTGAAGACAGTGTAGAAAGAAGCTAAGTGCTGTAGAAGGGAGCGAAGCTTCAGAGAAACAAGCAAGCTGGGTGGGGGAGAAGGAAGGGAAGCAGGTGGGGCCGGATCTGGGGAGAAGGGAGGAAAGCAGGCGGGGCAGTGACCACAGCAGGAAGCCCTATTGCAGGAATCTTCCTGCAACGGGCCTCTGGTTTATTAATAGTCACTGTGCCTCGGTTTCCCCATCTGCAGAATGGGGGTACATAATCACCCCTGGTACGCGCCTCACAGGGCCGTTGGGAACATTAAATGAGATGATCTCAGTGCTTGCCGGAGCACCTTGTCCGTAGGGAGGACGCGACAAACAATATTAGCTTTCTTCGTCATTAAAGCCTCCTCCGGCTTTCAGGCTGCGTTGCTGGGGGACTCTAATGGGAAATAATGACCATCCTCTTGTGTCTAATGGCAGCATCCCTCCCCACTGATTCCAGGCCTCAGGCAAACATCCAGGCCAGGCCCGGGCACTGGGAAGGAAAAGATAGTGATTACTAGAGGCTTGAACCGTGATTTAAGGAGTCAGGAGACAAACAAGCAAATGGCTTTGAAGAACAGTCATTTAAGGAGGACTGGTCACGCTCCCAAGATCCTGCTAATGCGAAAAGCAAACAAACTGTAAAGCATGTTGTGAAGCCCGTTTCAAATGCACAGGACGCTTATGCCAGGAATTTCTCTTACAGAAACCCTTGCTTCAGGGCACAGTTCAATATTGTGCAAATGTCACCGCAGCATCGTATTAGACAGATATGTCCATGCACATTCGACACATACATAACTGTATGCACAACTGACCCTAGAAGCATGTCACCCCTGTGCAAGGTGCCAAGGGACCCCAGGCAACTGACGGATGGCTGGTTTTCACTTTTCTGAGACATGTACTGCTGGAGGCTTTTCTGAGACGTGTACTCGAGGCGTCTTGGGGATGCAGAGTCCTTCGGACCCGGACACCATGGCCCGGTGGGCTGCCCTGACGCTCTGTAAGAGAACAATAAAAACTCTCCAAGGAGCACGCTTGGGGAACACTGCTGACTTCTGGGAAGCGAGGGGCTTTCTTCTTCTTTTAAACGTGAAAAACACCTGAATTTTTAGACGTGCCACACTGACTGGAGATGACACATCAGAATGCTCTAGACCAGGGCTGCTCAGCTTGGCACACTCACACTAGGAGCTGGGTGATTCTTTGGGGGGGGAGGGGGAGGGGGCTGTGTACCGTGGGGTGTGCAGCAGCATTCCTGGCCTCTACCCACTAGACGCCAGTTGTGACAACCCAACACGCCAACCGTCCCCTGGGGAGCAACATGGCCCCCGGTTGAGAACCGCTGTTCTGCCCCACAGGTCAGCTACATTAAACACACATGATCCCATGATGAACACACGCAGTCCTCACAGCTCGGGCCACCTGGCCCCGCCGCCTTTCCCGAGCTCGGGAAGCATCTGTGAGAACCACGCCCATCGCCAGGGCCTCTGAGGGGTCCTGAGTCCACCTCACCCCGCTGCCTCCACAAGGCGCTCCGCCTCTCCTCTGTACTTCCGGTGGCCTGCAGGGGCGCCTCTGTGCAGAGAGCTCACATTCAGGGTCAATTTTAGAAAAAGAAATTACTCCTATTCTGATTTTTTTAAAACACATAAATAACTTTCAGAATCCCCACCCCCACCCCCCACCCCCAAGTACTTTAAAAATCAAAAGTAAAACTGTTTTAGCCCTGGCCGGGTGGCTCATTTGGTTGGAGCATCATCTCATACACCAGAAGGTTGCGGGTTCAATCCCCGATCAGGGCACACGTGGGAGACAACTGAGGTTTCTCTTTCACATCGATGTCTGTCTGTCTGTCTGTCTGTCTCTCTCTCTCTCTCTCTTTCTCTCCTCTCTCAGGTAAGGACTGGAGAAGAAAAAGAAAAGTAAAATTTTTTTAGATACTCAGTAAAGTGAACACAGTAATACACCGGTCTGATGATGGTTTGAAGGAAGCTACATCTTAAGTGTTTGCATTTTATTGCTCCCACATCTGTTCCTCCATGTCCTGAAGACAAATGCTCTCTGGTTTTGGTCCTTTGTTTCCTGCTGTTTTATGTCTTTGGCCACGAGAACCTTAGAGTGTGCCTGGCCTAAAGGAGTGAAGCAGAACAGGACCCCTGGTGCCTGGGCAGAAGCATGAAGACTGTCTGTGTGGCCCCTGCAAGGATGTTGACATACTAGGTATCCCCGTCGCTCACCTGAGATTGACATTTAAAAGGCTTTCACCTTTGTTTATGGAGTTCCAAAGGACATCATTTCTGGGGCACAAATATTGGTGTGTTTACACAAAACCGTTTGACCAGCCAAGCATCTGTATCTAAACAGCACCAGGACCTGAGTCCCGCTGTGATCCCCCTAAAAATGCATACGACAAAGCTGTGCGCTTCCGTTCCACACTACATTCCTGTCCGCGGGTTCTACTCACACACACACACCCCAAGCACAGGCGAGCTTTTCAAAAGGCAAAAAATTTGCGTCATTTCCTCTGGCTTGGATTTAATTACATTCCCCATAGACTTTTACCTGCGAGCACCTCAGATTTTAGGCGAGAGAGTCTATTATTGAGGTCTTTATCACACCTCTCTCCAATATATTTACATATATTTCAATTCCATTTTTTTTAAATTTCCTGTGAGCCTGAGGGCTCTATCTGCTTAGACGACAATTTCCTGGATTGAGTTACCAGTACCACCATTAGAGAACAGATTCATAACAACAATGTAACACATGATTTACCATTATTAAAGGAAAATATGCTTGAAAATGCACATTTTCCCTGGATGAGACTTTTTCCTTGTCTTTTTTTTTTTTTTTCAACTGTTCCTCTACTGGTGGATAAATACTAAGTAGCCATTGCTCTAAGACAGTGAGGCATCAATTTATTTCTAGTTTACTTCGTCTTATCCCTTATTTAAAGTCTTATCCTTTATTTAACGGGAGATGGGGAAAGTAGGTATTTTGTTATAATAATGTCATTTTGTTCTCTGAACTCCTTCCAAGTTACAGCCCCAAATCTCATTGTGGCCCATCATGGACATTGCCCGTGAGGGCCGCTCTGCCAACAATTGGATTAGACTCACATCAAAGGGCAGGATGGCAGCGGAACTGCTCCAGGACCAGCGGGCAGCGAGCAGTGACAGCATCCCGCACTGTCTCCTCCCCAGCCCTCGGGGTCCCTGTTTCTGTGCGGAGACCGAGCCACCCAGAGACACGGAAATCAGGCGAGGACGTGTTTTTCTTTTGTGAAATGGGGGTGGGGGGGGGGGCGCGCGACTGAGCAAGGGGGGCTGGGAAGGGAGCAACAGCCGTCAGTCAGGGCCTCTCTGGCCAGGCAATGCTGAGAAAGAGGACAAAACTGGGAGCCGAGGACCCGGATCTGACTCTGTTAACACTCTGGGGGCACCTGTGTAACTCCGGGCGTGTCTCCACGTGCCCTCAATCGAGCTGCTGACTCAGAGGACCTCTGCAAGGGGGGAAAGGCAGGTACGAGGGGGTTCCACCTCAGGCTAGTGTTTGCAGATCACAGGACTATTAAGACAGGAGAAAGGACTACATCCCGATCAACCAAAGGGGAAAGGGCAGGTCACACGTCTCATGATGGGACTCACACGGCTGGAACACACAGCACCACCATGGTATGCTCAGGCCCAGAAACCGGAATCCCAATTCATCCAGCCTCTAGGTCTCCCTGGGGACTCAGCTCGCAGGAGATGTGGGCTGGGTGTATTATTGTTAAAATAGTAATGAATTATTGTTCAAGCCTTGGTGACTGTGCTTACAAAAATACAAGGCAGCCTGGACGGTGTGGCTCAGTGATTGAGTGTGTCAACCTATGAACCAGGAAGTCACAGTTTGATTCCCAGTCAGGGCACCTGCTTGGGTTGTGGGCTCGATCCCCAGTAGGGGCTGTGCAGGAGGCAGCCAGTCAATGATTCCTTCATTGTTGATGTTTCTCTCTCTCTCTCTCTCTCCCGCTCCCTTCCTCTATAAAATCAATAAAAATATATTTTTAAAGAAATACAAGGCATTCTGGGCGTACTGGATTTACAGGTGCCATTACTTCGCTGTTACAATTTCCACCTCCCAAGAAAGATGGGGGAAGACAGATGAAATGAGATCAGCAAAATGTTAATAACGACTGAAGCTGGCTGACGGGTACCTGGCTTGCATCATAGAATTCTCTCCACTTTTCTGCATGTTTGAAAATGGCTATGTCAAAAGGTCTTTTCCAGGGAAGGGGAGGAGAGAAAGAGATGTTTAATTAGTGCCCTTCCTAAATGCTAGTCCTCGGCCAGCTGCCCAACAAGCTCTTTCGCTGTCTAAAGAGAGGCGGGGCCCTAAACACACACCAGGAATAAACCGGATTGGTGATAAGAGGGAGCCCCAGCACCCGGACATCTGAGATGCATCCTGGTCACATGGGGAGAGACCGGAACAGCCCGTCAGCAGAGAAATGTCAGGAAACGCGCCTCAATTTACATTCCTCCTGTAACGGGCCACTTACCCCTGCAGCGAAGCCGAGACTTCCATCCAGGATCCGCCTCTGCAAATGCAAACAGGACGTTTCAGTTTCTAAGGGATAATTCCTGGGACGATGGGGAACCATAACCCCGAAGAGAGCCACGTGAATCAAGACCGGCCCACACCTGGATCAAATCCACCGGAATCAGTGCCTTTATAAAATGGGCCAAAAATCAGCTGGGGGAAATGTTTACCCTCCCCTCCACCCCACGGCCAATCAAGAGTCTTCTTTCTGGGCGGCCCGCTTGCACTGGCCCACGTGCTGCCTCTTTCTGTGAATTACGACTGAGAGCCTTCAGGGAGCCGCTGGCCTCAAAGATGGACATTGACAAGCGCTGGTGAGGAGCACGCACACACGCTGCCGGTGGGGGTACACACCGGCGCAGCCGTGGGCAGTGACCACGTGACTCGGGGATGCCATTCCTGAGTCACTGCCTAACAGGAACACACACTCGAAGTCACCAAGCTCGTGTACAGAAACGCTCCTGGCAGTGCTGTTTGTAAGAGCCGGAAACTAAAAACTACCCAAGCGGGTAGGTAGTGCATCATTAGGATATATTCATACAACAGAATATCATACAGTAACGAGAACACAAAATGCATATGGATGGAGTGCACAGTCAGGGGCAGCCAGGAAACCGGGAAATAGAGTGAAATCAGCCAGACACCAAGAGAACGTACTGTATTTTTCCAATCCAAAATTAATAAATCAATATTTTGAACATTTTGCTGGTTTTCCTCCGAAGGCCTTCTGTTTTGTCATCCTAAGGAGCTGTTCTTCCTGTTTTCCCCATTGTTTGATCACACAGGGAGTCGGAGGAGGTCCAAATGTCTCTCTGCAGCTCTCTGTCCATGCTCTTTTGCACAGCAGATTGCATTCAGTTTGAATTTTGCAGAGTAAGACAATAGCTTACGGGTATTTATCGTTTTTTATTTTTTGACATCTTTATGGGGTGAGAACGCTCCGATCCTGTTGCATCTGCCCACTCTCCTCCTCCACCTTCAATTACGGCATCAGCTGGCGTCAGTAACAATAAGGCTCGTGATTGGAGGAAGCCTGTTTGACAAGGCCTGGGCAGCGATGCACCCGCCCAGCTCCCTCCTCGCTGACTTCCGTGTATAAGACGCCTTGTCAAACTGAATGCAATCTGCCTGCCTTTCCCTCGCTGAGCCTGCTGAGTGTCCTTTCGCTGCGTGTCCTGTCCCGGGGCGTTAGCCACGGGGACAACTACATGCTGAGCCGGGTGGGTCCTGAGTCAGCAGACGGGTGGGTGGTCTTGGGAATGGCCTGTATGCCTCCGCACCAGGAAAGGTCTCAGCAATTCCTCCTCCTGACCAGCTCCCAAGGGGAAGGGGCCCCTCTGGGATGGCTCCCCACTTCTGAAGAGCCCACAGCGTTGGCCCAGGCCACACGGGGCTGCGAGGTCCTCCTCATCACAGTGCTGCACTGAACTCGGACCCATGGCCAACGAGACCCAGTGCGCAGGTCTCAGCTTCTCAAAGCAAAAGGAGCTGGTAGAGGGGACAGCCTGAGCTGCTCTGCCCCGGGGGCCCAGGCGCAGGACCGGGAGGGGTCAGGTAACCTGGCTCCGGGTCCTCGGGCGGCCGGACTGGCGTTGGAATGTTTCACTATCTGCGGACAGTGACCTGGGAGCCAGACTGTGTGCAGGCCTCCAGGCCTCCCTGGGGAGGGAGGAGGTGGGGCGCAGGGGGAGGTCTGATCTTATCGCTGACATCAATACCCGCTGAACTGGTCTCTGACACCACCATGACTTGCTCGCCAACTTCCCAGACACGGTGTGGTTTCCAGATCGGCCCCACAGCGTGTTTAGCGAGATCTGAGATCACTGACGCCTTAGCACGCCTTCCATTTCGAGGATCATCAAGCAATCAGGGGATGGAGGGAGTAGAGGGCTGAAGAGGGTAAGGAATTCAGACCCAGGAGGTGGGCATGGGCTGGGGAGGAGAGGGGTGGGGCACGTGGAGTGGGGGTGGGGCAGAGTGTGTTCTGGATGAGGGAGAGGTGAAAGGGGTATGTGTGGAGCGGTGGGAGTGTAGGAGGGATGGAAGGTAAGGGGGGGAAGACAGATGGGAAGGTACAGGGGATACAGGGTGCATGAGTGGGTAGGGGCATAAGGCTGAGAAAAAACGGGTAGGGGTGAGGTGGGTTGAGTGTATTTATCCCAAAGTTTTGGAGGGAATGAGGAGTCCTGGATTTGGAGCGAGAGAGGGGATAGGTACCCTTCCTCCCCCCAAGGTCTCTCCAATCATCCCCGATAACTCAAGGCCACAGAGCAGGGCAGTTAGCCCCTCCCCCAACCTACTGCCCCAGCCTGGGAGGGACTAAGGACAGACAGAAACAGGCCAGGGGCTCCAGGAGGCTGAATGCCCGGCCCCTCCCTCCCCCCTCAGCGAGTGAGGCAGGGTCACCTGCTCCCCAGGCTGGGAGGGAAAAGGAGGCCAGGAGAGGAGAGAAGGAGCACCACCCTCAGCCTGGAGGAGCACCACCCTCAGCCTGGAGGCGTGGCCAACCTGCGTGTGGGAGCCGGTGCTCCAGAGCCTGCTGAGAGTCCCACGGCCTCCCAGAACCCACCCAGGACAACTCACCTGCCCACTAGAGAAGATGAACACGAGAGCCGCCCCGGCTGCCGTCAGCCCCCAGGTGAGGAGGGTCCCCAGCAAGGCCTGGAACACGGCGCTGTGGCCTCGGAGCATGCTGGACGCGGCTGTGTGCAGAGGAGCGACAGGGTCAGTGCCCGCGGCGCCCACGGTCCCTTGTGGTGACTCGCACGCGTTCTGAGCTCTGACCCCCTCCACCTGGGCTGGCCTGACTGGGTTGGTGTATGCACCTGTCCACCACGCACCCCTCTGTGAAATCATCTAACTCTGGGAGGAGAGATGGGGTGACCTTGGGAAATGGCTCCCAGGAAGAAGCTCCAAGAATGTGGATTATGAGCTGGAGGAAGGGAGGGTCTGAGGGCAGCCTTCCCGCCCATTCTGCCTGCCCCTCCTGCTCTTGCAATCTAATCAAGGTTCAAGTATTTCCATCTAGCTCCCGGGAAGTCTGGGCCCCATGGTTGGGTCTGCGTGTACCTTGATTAGAATCATCGGTTCTCTCTTCTCCAAATACAAGAGTAGCCCAGGTTCCTTCTAGAAAGTCATCCACTTAGCCCTGATCCAACCTTCAACAGCTCCCCATGGGAGCTCCCATGGCCTGCCACGGGCATTCTCCACCAAATGACTTCCAAGGAGCCCACCGACAATTCAAGCCTGCATTGCCATCACCAGCATGCCCTGGATGGGCACAAGTTCAACTGAATCATTGATGGCACCTGGGACAAGCCCCCGTGGTCCTGCCCCACGTCTCTCTCCACATGGTTCCTTCCCAGAATCCCTTCTTTCCCAGCCTCCAGCCATCGCATCCAGGGTGCCCTCTGTTGCCCACTACTGCCAACTTCGATTCCACGCATGGCGATCCTCGCCACTCCCGTCCCTGCACACAGCTTTGGTGCCTCCTTCACCGTTCACATCATTTGCTGCCTAAGAACAGGAATGATGCTTTTCCACAGTTGGCACCCCTGTACACACCAGTCAGGCTCTCTGGCACCCGAAAAACGCCTGCCGAATTATTTATGGCACCTTGGACAAGCTTATCTTGATAGGACACGCAGTGAGGGCCAGGAAAGGGAGCTGTACGTGACACGGCCCCCAGCCAACGCCCACCGAGGGACGGAAGGGAAGGACCCTCCGCTCTGGCGTTCGCTCAGGGAACCTCCTCTCGACTTGAGGATGTCAGTCCCAGCTCTGGACTCTCGCTGTGGAAAGTTACAGGCGGAGAAACCCACGTGCTGAAAGGCCCAGTGTTCTGTACACAAACATCGGGGCCAGGGCCACCACTTCTCAAAGGGCCCATTCAGCTCCTCCTGGTCTGCCAGCTCCCACACGGCTGTGCTCGGCCCACTGGGCTCGGCCGCCAGGCCCCGCAACCCTGGGTCAAGACGCCGCCTCTCTCTACTGACCCTGAAAGGAAACCCTGATGGAGGGTGTAAGGGCCCTTAGGCCCCGGGCCTCAGCAGCAGAACCAGATTCAAACCCAGGAAGGAGTGGGTCCAGGTGAGCCCTGGTGAGGAAGCCGGTGCCAGGCAACCTCCACATCAGTCAGCACCTATCGATCCAGGCTGTCCCCCCCACAGTCTAACGGAACGCAGGCTAGCGACTGCACCAAACATAAAAAGAAACTAGAACCCTGGTCTGCAAACTGCGGCTCGCGAGCCACAGGCGGCTCGTTGGCCCCTTGAGTGTGGCTCTTCCACAAAACACCATGGCCTGGGCGAGTCTATGTTGAAGAAGTGGCGTTAGAAGAAATTTAAGTTTAAAAAAACTTGGCTCTCAAAAGACATTTCAATCGTTGCACTGTTGATACTTGGTTCTGTGGACTGAGTTTGCCGACCGCTGGCCTAGAACAACTTCAAGACCCAGAGCTAAGGAAGCGATGCTCCTGCGCAGGGAGGGCTGGCAGGGCTACAGAGTCCCAAGGGAACAGAGAGTTTGTTTCTCCAGCAGGTAGAGCAGAAACACGGTGGGGACAGGGCGTGTCAAACGCAGCTTCCACAACGGGGCTCAGTCTCCCTGGGAGCTGGACGCCATACGGGAACCTTGATTAGATGGCAAGGGGGGGGTCTTCTCTGGCCACCCCAACTTGAAAGGTGCCTAACACCACCCCATGGATGCACTCTACCACAGAGTGAGGGCTGGGCTGACCCGGGATTTTTCTCTCTCCCTCCGGTTGCTCTGCTTCCCAGAGTGGCTGCAAGATGCTGGCCAGGCTGAGTGCACACACAGCCCGGACTCCACGGGGCGGTCCACAGAGATGGCTCGGGGTGGGCTGCTGGGACTGTGGGACCCTGTGGTCCGCAGAGTAGCTCACCCCGGGGAGCGGGTCGGATATGCACAACCCCGGGCCTGCGGCACCTGCACCAGGGTCCCGGCCAAGTTCAGGGGGCGCGCTGACCTCCGGGGCCGGCGAAAGGGGCGCCGAGCAGCCGGAATCCCGGCCGCCAGGGCTCCCAGGGCTGCGGGGACCCCGTGCGAAGCTGGACGGGGCGGGTCCTGGGGAACCACCGGCCCGGGGAGGCGGGTCCACACCCCCCGGCTCGGCCCCCTGCTCCCTCCTCCGCCACCTGCCACAGCCGCCCCGCCTCCCTCCGGCCCCTCCGGCCCCGGGGCACTCCCCTCCAAACTCCGGGGGGCCCTTCCAGGCCCCGCGCGCCGGCCCCGAGGCCCCGGCCCCCGCCCGCCGGCGCCGAAGGAGGGAGAAGCCGACTCACTGGGCTGCCCTCTCACGCCCCCTCTCCACGGCCATCGGCCGCCGCCGCTCGCCGGCTCCCGAGTCACTTCCTGCTTCCCGCGCACACGTGGCCGCCGCCGGCCCCGCCCCGCGCCGTGATTGGCAGCTCCGGGGAGAGTAGATTCTCTGGTTCTCGGGCTCCTGCAGGCCCCGGAACGGATCGGGCGGGCGGCTAGAGCAGCGCCCTGGGGCCCAGCGCCAAGGGTGTTCTGCATGTACAAGCCGCTGCCATCGTGTCGGAAGCCACAGAATCCCAAAGAAACAGACTCTGGAGCATCCCTGATACCGTGTGTGTCACAGCGGAGTCCCATGCCCTGAGGGAGCGGATCAAATGTGTTGGAGAGGGTTTTGGGGGTAGGAGTGGGGAGAAGGGGAGGGGGAGGGGAAAGGGGCAGCCTGGAATCTCCCACCATCAGCATCATTCTCTAAGTCCCTGGCCCTACAACCACAGCTCCCAGCAGTCACCAGGAGCGATGTTAAAAGGCAGAAGGTTATCCCCACCGATATGGCTCAGCGGTTGAGCATCGACCTATGAACCAGGAGGTCACACTTCAGATTCCCGATCAGGGCACATGTCCCGGTTGTGGGCTTGATCCCCAGTAGGGGACTTGCAGGAAGCAGCTGATCAATGATTCTTTCTCATCACTGATGTTCATCTCTTTCTCTCTGAAATCAATTTTAAAAAAATTTAAAAAAAGACATTAAAAAAAAAAGAAAACCAGGCAGAAAGCTAGCACCCTGAGAGGCTCCGATTCTGGAAGTGTGGGTGTGTCTGGAAGTGTGGGTGTGTCCGAACTAGGGTCACTCTGAGAACCAGGGTCCAGGTGAAGAACGTTGCTCTGAGCCTTCTATAAAAAGACCAAAGGGCACCGCTGTTAGATTTAGCCAAAAATCAAAGCGGGCTGCTTGGCTAAATTTGCATTCAGATCAACAACAACAAATAATGTTTTCATGTCCGTGTGTGCTGTGCAGTATTTGGGACATGCTGTGCTAAAAAAAAAAAACAGGTCATATTTGCTGTCCAAGAGAAATTCATCCTGTGTTTCCTCTGACGGCCCTACCAGTGGGTAACATGGGCAGAAGTATGGCCCCTGATCACAGTGGCCATGACCGGAGGGTCCACTAGACCCTGTCCAGTAGTTCACGCTGATGATGGTGCCACATCCATATACTGGGTCAGGATGATGGCGCGGGGACCGTCGGGTGCTCTCTGCCCTCAGGAGCCCGTCAGACCTGGGAGAGAACCAGACCGGCTATGCTGGTCAGCTGTGGCCACCGTGAGAAATTTGTTGGGTACAAGCTACCCAGTCTGCGGATTTGGGTACTGCCAGCCCCAGGAGGGACAGACACAGCAGACACCTGCTGGGGAGCCGAGGATTTGGGAAGGAGGAATTCCAACTCCTAGTGGAAAGGAGTGACTAGGCAAGGAAGAAAGCAGGACCCTCTCAGGAATCAGAAACCAGAGGGCCAGTACCTGGGGTTTCCAGTTTCCCAGGGGCCCAGGAAATGATTAAGAATTGAAAACGATAACAAATATTGGATCTTGGACTAAAAAAAAAAAAAGAAGAAGAAGCTGTGGCAATTTAAATTAATAAATGTTTAACTCAATGCCTATTAAACCTTGTTAATTGTCGACTTCGGTATTCATAAAATTTTAATTATGTTCGGAAAACAATCTGAGGCTTAGCTTTTCTCACTTCAAGGGAACTCCTTAGTATGCATACTAATGGCCAAGAAATGCTGCCACTCATAAATTAAACAAGCTTAGAGCCAAATCATTACAACAGCAAAATTATTAAAACCTGATTATTTTTATGGGAGGAGGGAGGACTGGATGTGGCACGAGAGAGTGTTTTAACATGCTTGGTGCACTCCGGGGTGAGATCTCCAAAAAGCAGGGGTTCTTCAGGGGCCTTCCGAGATCCTAAGAGGCCCCAGGGAACCCTCAGAGGGCAGGGTGGTGGGGAGGGAAGCCCCCCTTCCCCCAGGTAGAGAAGAGAAGGCAGGGACGTGGTCCCTCAACCATCGATAGTCAAAAAGAGCAGCAGGTCATCCACAGAAATAAGCACTCCCCGCCTCATAATCCAGCTGCTTATCTCAGGTCGAAGGACAAAGATTACATAGGAAGTGAGAATTACAGGCATGGGGAAGTAAGCTAGGGCTACAGGCAATGTGGGTGGGGTTCCACATTGTGGGGACAGGGGAGGGAGGCAGGCGTTGGCAAAGGGTGGGTGCTCCGGGACCAGACTGTTTAACAACAAGATTGCTAATCTTTCCATGGGGATAGGCAGCTTTAGGGAAAGGAGAAAGGAGGATGGACTGCCTGCCTCTGAGGTTAACTCCTGTGTCCTGGGCTCACAGCTCTCCGCCAGGTTAGAATGCGCTTTCTCCAACCAGAACAGGACAATCGCCGTGAACAGAGCTCACGATTACTATTTCTTGTAATTATAGCTAGTCCCCTATTCTATTTCTGCCCCTAATTCTTCCATAGGTTGAACAGTATCCCCCACAAAATTCACGTGTTAGTGTCCTAACCCCCAATATGTGTGGTCACACCAATAGGTGTGACCTGCGTGGAGACAGGTCTTTACAGAGGTGAACAGTTACAGTGAGGTCGATCCCTAATCCATTATGACGGGTGTCCTTGTAAAAAGGGGAGACGTGGACAGAGGCACGCGTAGAGGGGAGGTGAAGAGAAGGGACACAGGGTGAAGACAGCCGCCTCCAGGCCCAGGAGCGGGGCCCGGACAGATCACGGCCTCAGGAGGAACCGGCCCGGCCGGCACCTGGAGTTAGGGCTTCCCGCCTCCGGGACTGTGAGCTGGTGAGTTCCTGTCTGTTAAGCCACTCCGGGCTGTGGTATTTTGTTTGGCAGCCTTACCAACGCAATCGAGGGCCGAAGGTCAATGTAGCTTACATCATAAATTGTAGTGTTCCAAATAACTTCCACAAGCTCCCGGCCCAAGGATCTCAAGTCACAGATGGTGCAGAGCGTGGTAGGTGCCGGAGTGGGGCTGGAACCCACACCTCCCACTAGCCCCACTTCTCTCACGGGTCACACATCAGTGAGTCCCTAATCATCCCAAACTGCCGGACAACCGTGACAATGATTGCTTACGAAAGGCTACCAGTCGGAGCACCAACGCTCACATGAATGTTCTTAGTGCTTTCCAGGCACACCCACTAACAGACAACCAAGGTTCCCATTCCACGTCGAAATGCATCTTTTTTTTAAATATATTTTTATTGATTTCAGAGAGGAAGGGAAAAGGAGAGAGAGAGAGAAACATCCATGATGAGAGAGAATCACTGATGGGCTGCCTCCTGCACGCCCCATACTGGGAACCCAGCCCACAACCTGGGCATGTGCCCTGACTGGGAATTTACCCCGGGCCTCCTAGTTTATAGGTCAACATTCAACCACTGAGCCAGGCCAGCCAGGCATCATCTTGAAACAAGAAGCAGGAATACCACATGATTTTCATGATGAACCTATCGCTCTTGTAAAATGATTTGTCACTGAGACTCTGCACAGATTCACACTGACCTTTCACCTAACGTCGCCGGAATTGGCAAGTCTCCATAGTCTTCCCACGTGGCCAGGAAGCCCCAATGGGGGACCTGCGAGGGAGAATAACACACAAAACCTCACACTCACACAGTCATTGATCTAATTGAACGGAATGATGGAGTCTCCAAATCGCATGGTGCCCTCTGAGCTTGGGTTGGCCCGTCAGGGTGATTTCCCAGGGACCTGCCTAATACGATGATTTAAAGATGGGTTGGAAAGATATTGATCCCTCTAGCGCTGCTCAACAGGATAATTCTACAAATTGCAGAACATAAATGCAGTGGGCTTCACGCAGTGCGTCAAAATGATAAATACCCTACCAGCATAGGAAATACCAGTATTAATGATATCATATTTTGTGGAGAAAGCAATAAACAAAATGCCATTTGTTATTACAATGGTAAAAAATGCACGTTGCCGAAGAATGAAAGGGAATTCTAGAAGCTAACGCAGTTGAGATACGGGGAGAAGAGAGTGTAGAGGATTTTCCTTTTCTATAATATTACGTCCCTTGCATAATTTTAAAGTAGGCTAACGAGGTGTAAAAGAAGGTGAATATAGAAAACAAGGCTCAATGGGCTGAAAAAGACTTCAAGTCAGTATTGAAACTCCTGACTCTCAGCCTAAGACTCAGTTAATAAAAGAAATGTTTGGCTCCGTGGATAGAGTGTTACCTATGGACCAAAGGGTCCCAGATTCTATTCCGGTCAAGGGCATGTACCCTGGTTAGGTCTCATGCAGGAGGCAACCCATCAATGTGTTTCTCTCATATTGATATTTCTCTCTGTGTTTCCCTCTCTCTTCCACTCTCCCTAAAAATCAATGAAAAATATCCTCGGGTGAGGATTAACAACAACAACAACAAAAAATTTAAAAATAAAGAAATAAAAGAGATGCCCTGCTTATATCCAGAGCCACTTGGATGTGTCAAACACCCGGCTCTTTAGAATATCAGGTTCCCTTGAAAACTTCCACGATTTGTTTTAATCAATCATCTCCCCGGCGTTTGCTGCGCCTCATTAGCTCTCCCACAGGCAGCTGCAGAATGGGGTAGGCCGTCTCCATGTGGCGGGACCAGACCCCCAAGGGAAGCGTTCTGCCTCCCTCCCGCTCCCACGTGCTCCCCCAGGAGCCCCTGGGCCTGCCTGTCATGTCGCTTGCCTCCCAGTTTCACAGACAGATGGTTGGCGGGGCTTTGGTTCAGACAGGACATCTGAGCCCTGAGATCCCACAGATGTGTGGCCCCATCACTTGCCAGAGCGTCTCAAATGCTCCCCGATACGACCCGGGAGCCACAGGCTCCTCTTCGCCCTGTCAGCCCCAGAAGAACACAAACACAGGGCCCCAGACACCGGCCCAGTTGTCGTCAGGGGGACACCTGACAGGTTAGAATGTTGTCTCCTGAGATGCCTGGTTCTTCCAGAACCTTCTATAGCCGTGGAGAAGCACTACGACTTGTTAGTACTAAAATCTACTTTGTATTCATTTTAACAAGCACCATTTACCTAATAGGTAATCTCTCTGCTCACTCTAAG